AAACAGAATGCGCTAACTATCGAGGAATCTCACTCCTTTCGTGTGCTTATAAGCTGCTCTCTAACATTCTTTTTGAGAGGATCCTCCCGTATTCTGAAAAGGAACTGGGGAAATATCAGACTGGATTTCGAAGAGGACGCTCAACCACTGATCAACTGTTCTCTCTGAGGATGATCCTAGAAAATACTATGGAGCGTAAGGTAGTCACCCACCATTTATTCCTGGACTTTAAAGCAGCATACGACAGCGTTGATAGAATGCAACTATACTGTGCCTTGGAGGAGCTAAGCATCCCTCAGAAGCTCGTACGCCTAATCAAGATGACCATGGACAGCTCGAGATGTAGAATACGCGTCGGTTCTGACGACTCCGAAGAGTTTAAAGTGAGCAGTGGGGTTAGGCAAGGGGATGCCCTCGCCTGTCTATTGTTCAACTTGGCAGAGGAGAAAGCTGTAAGAGACTCCGGTATTCAGACCAACGATATAATCTTCAATCGCCTGACACAGCTTCTTGGTTTTGCTGTTGATATTGACATAATAGGTAGGTCTGAACGGGCTCTCAGAGAAGCGTTTATAGGCCTTGAAGCAGCTGCAAGACCACTTGGTCTAGAAGTCAACGAGAGGAAAACTAAGTATATGAGAGTTGGTGGTGAGGTAGATCTGAACTCTCCATTTGAGGTAGGTTCTTTTAAGTTTGAGAGAGTGAAAAGTTTTATATACCTTGGGTCTGAAATTAATAGCAAAAATGACTTGGCTCAAGAAATACAAAGAAGGATCATGGCTGCCAATAGATGTGTCTTTGGACTTGGCCGACACTTAAGAAGTAGGTACCTCTCAAAGAAGACCAAGCTGATCATATACAAGACCCTTGTTCGGCCTATTTTGACATATGGCTCAGAGGCTTGGACGATGACTAAAAAGGATGAGATGAAGCTGAGTGTGTTTGAGCGAGGAGTCCTCAGAAGGATTTATGATCCAATAAAGGAGGGTGATGTCTGGAGGAAAAGAAAAAATAGGGAGCTCAGTTCTCTCTATGCAGGCATCGACGTAGTCACGTATATTAAACTGGCCAGACTAAGGTGGGCAGGGCATGTGGCCAGAATGAGCACCGTTGAAATACCAAAAAAAATAATGATGGAGGAGCTGCACCTCGTAAGACGGGTAGGAAGGCCGAGGACGAGATGGTTGGACAACGTGGCCTATGATGCGAGAACCCTGCTTGGTGTACGGAACTGGAGAGCTGCAGCAGAAGACAGAGCCAACTGGCGGAGGCTCTTGGAGGAGGCCCAGTCTCGGTAACGGGATGTTGTGCCACATATGATGATGATGATGATGAAAAGTGGATACTTTACAATAACAGTAGATGTTCTGGACAGTGGCTCAACAGAGGAGAAGCAGTAGAACATTTTCTAAAGCCCCCAACTCATCAAAAAACATTATGGTTACTGTTTGGTGGGCTTCATTTGGTTCGATACACTGAAGCTGTAGTGTAAAAATAGCTTTGTCTGTGCTACACTTGCCGAAACAAAACAGACCCTTTTCTGTCCAGAATTGTTACTTGTGATGAAAAGTGGATACTTTACTATAGCAGTAGACATTCTCGACAAAGGAGAAGCAGCAGAACACTTTCCAAAACCGCCAACTTATCAAAAAAAGGTGATGGTTACTGTTTGGTGGGTTTCATTTGGTTTGATACACTACAGCTCCTTAAATCCTGCCGAAACCACCAATGGTGAATCGTTTTGTAACCAAATTAATACAATGCATCAGAAATTGGCAATAATGAAGCCACTTTGGTCAATTGGAAGGGTCCCATTTGGTTGCATGGCAATGCCCTGCCACATGTCTCACGTGTGACGTCAAAAAAATGTTGGAACTTGGATATGAAACTCTGCCACATCCGCCCTACTCTGCGGACCTCTCGCCTACGGATTATTATTTTTTTAGACACTTGGACCACTACTTAGTGTAACAACAAATTTAATGGACAATGGATTTAATGGATGAAAGGGAATTATAAAATGCGTTTTCGAAGTTTATGAATTCTAAAGATGGGAAATTTTACTCTGAGGGAATGAAAAAGTCGCCAGTATGCTGACAGAAATGTATTGATAGTAGTATTGAAATGTATTGATAAAATATGTATATCTATGAAAAATTTGCTTAACTTTATCATTAACTAAAAACGTCTTGTTTATAAAGTAAACTAAACAGAAAAACATTTCTCATATTTTATTATTTCTTCCCATGTGCAAAGAACTGATTTTTTTTTTTTTTTTTTTTTGTATGTGTCTTGAAAAGTCTACATTCCATGAGGAATAGCTGAAAAATGACATATATTTGTATGGAAAACAATTTTATTTACAAAAACTCAAAACTTGTGAAAATAATAAAATCATCTCCTTTGATTTTTCTTAATTAATTTTTTTTAGTAATAAAGATAATTAATTTTATTAATATCTTATTATACCTCCCCTTGCTCATTCAACCACCTGTATTCTCCTCAACATCCTGTTTATTAAATTGTAAACCCTTTGCTGTTCGTTGTGAATTCACACTTCATTTGTCCAACTCTGACGTGCTGGAGGTGCTTGGCAAGGCTTGCTCGCCTTTGGATACATCTATCTAGTGTTCACTGGTCACTGAAGGGTGACGTATTAAGCGAACAATACTGACTTCATTGAGGTAGTCATTAATCACATTTGGAACAAGTGGCTGCACTTTGTCATTCATCAAAATAAAATCAGAGTTATTGCACTGTGTAACGCAGCTATCCTTACCATCTCCACACTTTTATTCAGCAATCTGAAATAAATAATGAAAACTTGGACTCGTTTTTCTCTGTGCATGCTTTTTGTTCCTGAGGAAACCTAAGAACATAAGCTGCCCAATGTGCTGGGGTTGGTTGAACTCCAGTAGCTGGAGCCCTTCATTGAAAGTGAGCTTTTTTAGCCACCTCTTCACTGGATCCGTACTAACCTTCATGTTTCTTGAAATTTGAAGCAACTATTAAGTTTATGCATCTGGTGAGAAAATGATTTTAGATAGTTGGTATCATGTATGTTGTGTTTTTAACTGGGCTGTAAAATTTTGGGTAGAACCAGTTCGTTCGGTTTTTGAAGGGTGAAGTAAAACAATTTTTTTTTTCATGCAAAGAATAGATTTTAATCAGTAATTTATTCACCGTTTAATGACCTCTTGCCATCTTTCTAAAAATTTCATTGTTTCGCTCTCGTAAAACATCAAGAGTTTAGAAGCGAAATACATTTTCACATATCTCTCATCAGCGAACGATTTCTTGTTAAGGGAGTTTTGGATGGATCGGAACAAACGGTTGTACAAGGGCCGGAGAATCGGTGGTTGTAATAAAACATTCCAGCCAAGTTAACTAATTGTGTGATTATTGCAGAATGTAGCCTAGCGTTGTCATAGTGGAATACAACATCGTTGGGATTGCCTACTTTCTGTCGCAATGCTTGGCCCAGTTGAGTGCAGTAGATCTTTGAATCAATCGTTTTTCCTTGTGGAAGCAACTCGTAAAAATGCTGCACATCTCAATGATCTCACCATATGGAGATCAAAATGTTTTTCGGATGTAGGCCGACCTTTGAGATGACATTAACAGTTGTTGACGATCTCCTGCGCACTGCATTGTCATAGATGATCCACTTTTAGTCACCCATCACTATTTGTTTGAGAAATGGGTCTTTTTCGTGCCAGTTCAGGAGAGAGTTGCAGATTGATATTTGTTCCAGCTGTTTTAAATTACTTTGAACAGTTTCAAAACCTAATTTCAATGTCTCCTCAATATCTCTCACCTGTAGCGACCGGTCTTGTTCTATTAGAACCTTAATATCACTGGAAACAACCACGATGGGCCGACTGGTGCGGGGTGCTTCTTTGAGACTCATATCTCCAGAACAAAACTTGGCAAACTATTTTTTGATTTTAACAGTACATTCTGTTACGCCATCTTCACCGTATACCTATCTTTTGGTTAGCTTCCGAAGCTCGCTTGCCTTTTTAGTTTTAAGTAAAAAAGGAAAATATGCCGAAAAAGCATTTCATCATTTGACCTATTCCCTACGCTATAGTGCAAACAAAACTAATGCCAATGAAACCAAACACAACAGTTTCAAAGAGAGGACTTTGACTTTTCTGATAAGTATCATTATTGTCAGATAAAACGAAGAGAACTGGAGAAATTGAAAATGAATCGCACTACTAACATTTTGGATTTAATTGATATTAGTGTCATCTATAATATTTTCGGGAACTCTTTTTATTTACTTTTAAGCTTTTTAACTTTTTACCAATTTACAGAGCTTTTTATCAATCGCCTTGAGGTGGTCATCGACGGTCAATTTGCTATTGTTATGTTTCCCTGTAAGTTATCGAACAGTTGTTCTGGGGTTTTCTTCCACCAAAGTGCGAAGAACAGCGTCATCAAGAGAGAAAGTCCTTCCACAACCTTCTTTGTTTTCAAGTCTGAAGTCTCCCTCCCAAAATTTTTGAACTACCATTGAACAGTGCACTCATTAATGCTGCTCCGCCCCAGACTTGATTGATGTTTCTGGCCGTCTGGGTCCCATTCTGGCCGAATGTAAACTCTTAAAACAAAATTATACAAAAATCACGCATTGACATTTTAAAGACTGAATTATTTCTAAGCAGCAAAATGCTATAGAAGTAAACAAACATTATCGTTTGGAAGAGGATTAATAAGTATTGACATTCATACAAATGAATAATCCAGTAAACGTAAATAATTTGTTATGTGGAAAGGTATTTTAAAGAAAACTAAAAATCCTGCATTATTTACAGGAAAACCCAACATATTTATTGAAAACATTTAACATTCAACAAAACATTCTGCTGTAGTTAGTTTCATAATTGTTTTGGTTTGGTTTCCTTGTTTTATGTTAGTTCCATTTACAAAATGTTTTGTATTTTAAAATCATGTATTTATGAGTTCAGATATTTTGATATACATGTCTATAGGTTTTGAATCAACCAGGATGCCACAATGAACAATTGGACCCTGTGGAACTTTCTCTAAGGTCTGATTCACCAATGTTCTTTGAAGGATATCACCATGTGTTTCGCAGGAAGAAGAAGGCATTTAAATCAATCACCAATTCGATGGAACACACCTGCAAGGTAAGATATTTTAATATATACAAATTACATATATTGTTGTGAACTAGTATGCGCAATATTGGAATTTTATTATTATAATTAATATTATGGACGTATCGGAAATAACATCCGGATTAGGTATAAACAAACACTTTCATATGTCAATTATTTGAACACGTCACCGGAAGTAACAAGAATTGATGCTTAGTCACATAGCTCAATTTAAGCTATATATAGCTTAAATTGAGGTAATATAGATAAGCTGTTTCCATGGTTCTACCTACAGAGTCCACTGATAATAGTCGCAAAATACACAAGAGGGGGAAAAGAGGAAGGCATTCTTCAGGTATGAGATGCCCTGCCCTGGTCAAACCACTATTTTATAGGAAACGCCATTGAGAGAACATTTTATGAAATATCGCTAGCAAAAGGCAGAAATTAATTATCAACACTGATCAGTCCATAACATCAAGTAAAGTGCTAGTGTTATACATGTTCTGTAGAACTTTATAGAATAGAATAATTCAGAGTTCAAATTAAATTTATTAACAATTAAACAATCATTTACCAAATTTATTAAATATATAATCTATATATCAGTTAAGTTGTTCAAGTTTTATAATAGAGAGTAATTGTTTGTTGAAAGGTATAATTTGTAAAGGGGTTAATTTTAAATGATTCATATTTGTGTATATAAAGATATAAACTTTCCATTTTGATAAATAATTTCATGTTACTTCAGTCTAAATATAATATTTCATTTTTATAGTCCAATATATTAGTTCTCATATTATTAACAATCCCAATTAATAAATCTATTATCAATTTTCCGTTTGTCTACATTGTTTATTATGTCCTTTTCTTCTGCCAAATTTTAATAATTTTAGATATCAATTCTCCCCTTCAGGGAATAAAATACCAATGGACAAGCAGGCAATAACAATGAATAGTAATTATCTTATTTATAATTAAGGCAGAAGGAGGTAGGGCATGATTATATATATATATATATATACATATATATATATATATATATATATATATATATATATATATATATATATATATATATAAATTTTTAATGTATGTTCTGTAGCGATTTTTTTTTTTTTAGATATTTGCTAATCGAATTGGGCCTGCTTTACTTCAAGAGAATTTCTTAAGTGTTTTACTTGATATTAGTTCGTTTCAAGTTTTTTTGGCTGGTTGTTTAGCTGATCGGAGATTTGTGGACATAGATTTGTCCAAATCTCATTATAGACTTTCTGTGCTGTTAAAAGAAACTCTTGCTTCTTTTCCTGATACCAGAGGGAAAGCGATTGAATTCCTTAGTGAATTAATGAGGTAAATTGTTTTTAAATTTTCATTGTCACTTCTAGTTACAGGAAAATCTTTATTATTGTTTGACAAATTAGGAAAAGAATAGATTTCAATAATCAAAGAAATGTTAATAAATGGATATCTATGCATATCTGCAAAACAATTATACGTATACCTACTGACTATTATTTCCGGAGATTCATTTTTTACCTGGATAAGCATTTTTCTTTAATTGATAAATCAATAAATATTATTAAATAGCAATAGGTATAAATTGTTTGTTAATTAGCTACAGTTACAAAAAAACAGAAATCTCAGCTCACTGATGCTCACTTACATAAAATCACAAATTTTGTTATTAATCTTAATATGCTTGGATATTCCTTTACTAACATTAGGATCAAATAATCAGAATGGGGACTGACCTAGAAAATCTGGAAAAATAGAAAAAGTCTGGAATTTTCAAAACAGAGAAAAGTCAGGGGAAAATGACCTTGATTGAAGGGATGAACTTCGTTCTTATAGATGACCATGGTTATATTGAAATTAAACAAGAGTAATGAATACAATTTAACAAAAATAGACTTTTTTGAAAAGAAAAACATACCAATATTATTTACTGTTTGTAATATATACATTTATTTAAAATAATAATAATAATAATGAACTTCTTAACAGCAATGCTATATATAGATAAACATCCATTAGAACATTTTTCAATCTTAAAATGTAGAGTCCGATTAAGCATTAACTTTTTAAAAAATTGTTTTTCACGCTTTGAATATGTCAATGTCATGGTAATTCTCATGAACTGTAGGCTAAATCTTTGAATTCCATTTGTTGGTTAACTAAAAGAGAATGCTGGCAGTTTTACAGCTATTTAAAAAACAAAAACAGTATTGTGTCTGGAGCAGAATCTTTGTATCCATCCTCACAAAATATTAGTTTAAGGTTCATCAAGTGAATCGCTAATTGGTTGTAAATATTTGTTAGTTTTTTTAGTAAAATCTGGCTTAGCCCTGATAGCAGAATATTCAGAACTACAGATTTTTATTTATTAAATATGAGATTGATTTGAGTGTCTAAAACACCAGCCCACGTGCTGAGAAAATGCCCCCAACAACTCCCTCCTCATAACATGCCGCCACCACAGCGTCAAGTTCGAGTTGATGAGGCTCCTTAGAGAAAAAGAATTCACCTGCTTTGATAAGATCTATTGCATCTACAGTGAAGGCTCTACAAGATATGTGAATATTGTTGTATTTCCCCAGACAGTAGGGACAGCGCTGATCTTGTATTCTACTGTCCGATTTGATTGCAATGATCTCGATCAGGCGGGTGAAGTGGAAAGGGAAAAGAAGAACATTTATGATAAATGTATCCCTTTCCTAAAAGACAAATTCTGAAAACCTTCAGAGAGAGATACTTCATCATGAGATGCCTCTGGTTTGGGTCTCGAAGTACTAGGTGTTGATGTTGGCTGAGAATATTATCCTAGACTCCCTGGGAATCATTCACTATCACTTATATAGTGATTTACTGTGAATTGAGGATGTCTTTTATCATTCATTTATTTATTTATTCAATTTTAAATCTTTCGCATTGTCTATATTCGTGGGATTAGTTTGATATATAGCATTTCCAAGCCAAATTCAACCTTTTCCATTTCAAATTCAACTTTCGAATTTTTGTAAATTTTCAATTTTTTTCTAGCTAAAGGCCACTGCTTTATTATTGAAGGCATAGCTTTAAAAGAACACAAAAAAAAAATTGTGATAACACAGTTGCATATCCATTTATTTTTACTTTTTAGATTTTTTCGTAGAATATTTCCATGTCATATTCAGTTTTTTCCAAGTCAAATTCAACCTTTTCCAAGTCAAATTAAACTTTTTCCTAATCAAATTCAATCTTATCCATTTCAAATTAAAGTTTCTTTTTTTTTTATAATTTTTTTTTTTCTAAATAAGGGCCATTTTCCAATATGAGGGTCAATTATTATGCTCCCCTAAGTAGAGTGTTTCAAAATACTATCAATTTTATGTTAAACTTTCGGATATCGATTTAATGTACCTATTCGGATTTATTCGATATAAGGATCTAGTATTATGTTATCGTGTGCCTAGTTTTGAAAATAATCTCCAATTTAAGATTACATCGCTGTGTTTTGACTTATTTAAGTTTTTCGGATTTATTCAATTTAAGGGTGTATTCTTATGTTTCCGGAGCCGTAGATTTTGAAAATGACCTCCATTTTATGATCACGCCACTGTATTTCGACTTATTTAAGTTTTTTGGATTTATTTGATTTAAGGGTGTATTCTTATGTTTCCGGAGCCGTAGATTTTGAAAATGACCTCCATTTTATGATTACGCCACTGTGTTTCGACTTATTTAAGTTTTTTGGATTTATTCGATATGAGGTTGTATTCTTTTGTTTCCAGAGCCGTAGATTTTGAAAATGATCTCCATTTTATGATTACGCCACTGTGTTTCGACTTATTTAAGTTTTTTGGATTTATTTGATTTAAGGGTGTATTCTTATGTTTCCGGAGCCGTAGATTTTGAAAATGACCTCCATTTTATGATTACGCCACTGTGTTTCGACTTATTTAAGTTTTTTGGATTTATTCGATATGAGGTTGTATTCTTATGTTTCCAGAGCCGTAGATTTTGAAAATGATCTCCATTTTAAAATTACGGAGCTACATTTCGACTTATTTGAGTTTTCAGGATTTATTCGATATAGGGTGTATTCTTATGTTTCCGGAGCCATAGATTTTGAAAATTACCTCCATTTTAAAATAATGCCACTGCGTTTTGGTTTATTTAAGTTTTTTGGACTTATTCCTTATGAGGATCTACTTATATGTTATCGGAGACAAGTATTTGAAATTTATCTAATATTTAATCTCTATTTCAAGATTATGCTGCTGAATCTCGATTAATTAAGCTTTATTTTGGATCTTTTCAATACAAAGTTTCATCAGTATGTTTTCGAGTATGAATAAATAAATACTATGAAGCTAAGCTTGAAATAACCACAAAACACAAAGTAAATAGCCGAAAAAGCAATAAATTTATAAATTTTAATTTTTAATTTTAAGTTAATAAATGTAACCTAGAATTTTCAGATTTTGCAGCTAATTGTTCAAAATTAGTATATTATAATTTTGTAAGAGGATATCGCAATATAAAAAAGATAACTAAAATTAAATTTAAAAATGCGAAAAATATATATTGTATTTATTTCGGCTGAAAAATACATTAATCCATCGAATTTTTTTAAATTTGAAGGGAAAAAAAACTTAAACAAACAGAAACACAGTAGCCTAATCTAAAAATAGTGGTAATTTTCAAAATTAATGGCTCCGGAAACATAAAAATACACCCTTATATCGAATAAATCCTGAAAACTCAAATAAGTCGAAACGTAGCTGCTTAATTTTAAAATGGAGATCATTTTCAAAATCTACAGCTCTGGAAACATAAGAATACAACCTCATATCGAATAAATCCAAAAAACTTAAATAAGTTGAAACACAGTGGCGTAATCATAAAAAGGAGGTCATTTTCAAAATCTATGGCTCCATAAACATAAGAATACACCCTTAAATCGAATAAATCCGAAAAACTTAAATAAGTCGAAACACAGTGGTGTGATCTTAAAATAGAAGTAATTTTGGCCGATATTAAACGCCGATTTGCCAATATATAGGCCACTTTTTTTTTCCATTTTCTTTGTATTGAATATTTTGGGCTGGAAGAGTTGGACCAATTTTTATCTCTGGCCCTTCCCTTCCCTTCCCCTAACTTAGGCAAATACTGATATATCGGCCTCAGGCCTTATTTTTTCAAGATAAGTAGTTTGATTTCTTCATTTTTATCTATTTTTTTTTTTTTTTTTTTGTGCTCCGCTGCAAAAATTTCTGGTCATCCTTTTAAACCGATATATCGGCCTCTTCCACATTGAATATTATTTTTATTGCTCATAAATACGCAAATTAATCTTCAACGGGTCCGCATAAACACAAATTTGAGTAAAGACCGCTATATCGGCCTTATGACCTTATTTAATCAAGATTATTAGAATTTGATCATTTAAAAAAAAAATGTCCAATATTATTTTTATTCCTAGGCAAGAAATCGTCAAGGGATCATCATAAATTTAATATGAGTAAAGACCGATATATCGGCCTTATAACCTTATTTTATTAAGATTGATAGAGCTTGATCTACTTTTAATATGTTTTTTTTTTTTGTCCTTCTCATTTACTAATTTGAGCAGATACCGATTTTCTGAAGACCAATATATCTGCCTCCCAACCATATATTATCAAGATTAGTTGAGTTTGATTTTTTTTTTTTTTTTTTTTGTGACCACATTTTTTTCAAACCCATATATCATTGGACTGAAAAACTTTTGGAAGAAGACAAGCACAAAATTGAAAAAAAAGTTATCAAACTCTATTAATCTTAATAAAATTGATTCTCAAGACCGATATATCGGTCTTTATTCATATTTGTGTTACATCGATTCCATGACAATTGATTAGCTCATTTATTATCAGTGTAAATAATATTCCATTGAAACTCTATGAATTATGATAAAATAATGTCAAAAGACCGATATATCGGTCTGTGGCATGGACCGAAAAACATTTGATAGAAGACAAGCACAAAATAAAATTTATGAAACTCTATAAATCTTGATAAAATTAGATCTTAAGGCCAATATATCGGTCTTTACTCACATTTATGTTTATATCAATTCCATTGCGATTGATTGGCTCATTTATTATTTGTATAAATAATATTCTATGTGAAACTCTATGAATTATGATAAAATAATGTAAAAAGGCCAATATATTGGTTTATAGCATGGACCGAAAAACATTTGGTAGAAGACAAGCACAAAATAAAAATTATAAATCTCGATGAAATTAAATCTTAAGGCCAATATATCGGTCTTTACTCACATACAATCACAAAATTAAAAAAACAAAAAACTCGAGATTGGTAAAGTTTGATAATTTTTTATAATGAAGTCTTGAAGCTAACACGTAAGCTCAGCACTGCCATTGCCCGGCTACCTGATATATGAGAGAATTTTATACAAATAGCTACGAGTTCACGTCCTGGTGACATAGGGAGACTTTTAACTCTGCCATTAACTCCCCCTCCCCTCCCCGGCCTGGGAAATCGCCGTATAGTCTAAAAGGTGAGGAAGAGGTGGACCCTAAAAAAAAAACAAGTTGTGAGGCCAATTTATCTCTCTTCACTCAAATGTATGTTTATGTCAATACCTTTTAAACTGATTGACATATCTATTAGGAATAGAAATAATATTTATTCTATATGGAACTCCATGAATCATGATAAAATTAAGTCGTAAAGCCGATATATCGGTGTCTAGAATATCAGTATATATAGATCTTAAGGCCTAATATATATAGAATATCGGCCTTTGTAATATCGGTATAGGCCAAAATTTCTATATTGGTCGATCCCTAATTTTCAAAATCTACTGCTCATTGGAATGCACCCTTATATCGAATAAATCCGAAAAATTCAAATAGGTCAAAATGTAGCTGCGGAATCTTAAAATTGAATTCAAAAACGACTTATATGATAACTGATCCATATATTGAAAAATGAAAAATAAATTTAAAAAAGTTTAATTTGACTTGGAAAAGGTTGAAATTGACATGGAAATGCTATATATGTGTGCAATTTAGTGTTAAATTCTTAGCATTCAATTCTTTTTTTTTTTATTATGTATTTTATGCCATATAGATGGCTTAGTGTCATTTATTAGTGGTACTTTATAGTACTAGTATTATGAAGAGAGAGGAAAACAAAAAAAGAAAAAGAAAAAAGAAAGGTGTGTGTGTGTGTGTGTGTGTGTGTGTGTGTGTTTGTGTGTGTGTGTGTGTGTGTGTGTGTGTGTGTGTGTGTATTTTTATATGCAGTAGTGGAATAATGTTATGTTAGAACTATCTCCATTTGGATTGATTGGTATGCTGCGTGTAAAGCAACCCTATTTAGTTGGGCAACATTACTTTTAATAAAGTATTTCTCACTGTCTTTCATGTATAATAAATAAATTTATTTATAAATTATACATTTTTAATATTTGTGTCTACAGATATATTGGTCAGGAAAAAGTCTACGATCTGGTAGCCAGTAGTTTTAGTTGATAGTAAAACTAATCAAAATACACATAAAGCATACTTATTAGGAACTGCCACATTAGAAACTTAAGATTGTTTAGAAATTTGTTTTCTTTTAGAAAATAAATTGATTTCACTTGATTCCTTTAAGTAAAAAAAAATCTGCTTTCGTTTTCAGACTTAATTCAATCAGTTGAATATCAATAGGCTAAATGAATTAGTCAATTAAACCGTCTTGTGCGAAACCCACCTTATTAGCCATCGACATATAGGTGGTTAGAATTGGATCAAGAAGACAATTAGATCTAGGAATTTAAAAGGTTTGAGCAAGTGCTTGAGCATGGTTAAACAAGAATGATTTAAACCAACTAATAGACCAAGAGAAAGCAGACAATGATTTGAATTTAGGAAAAATCAATTCTGTTTTCTTCTTACTGTCTCCCTCTTATCATGTGCATCTGTCGAAAGGATGCCTACTGGAGCGAATACAGACATTCTATGGAGAGCTGCAGAAACAAAATATCCAAAGGGGACGCAGTGAACAAGGGTTTTCCATCCTTCTTGTGAAATACTTTTTAATTTTTAACGGTACTTTTGCCATTAGTTTTTTTTAACAAGGAAGGATTTTGTGAAGTAGCAAGGCTGTGATTCACTTAGAGGGGATTGAGTAGTTAAGACTCTTGAATAAAATTTGTTTTTTGTGATTGTACTAATCTTTCTAGAGTTTTAGAAAGGATAAAGATTGGGTGATAATTTTTAAGGATCAATAAATTTTTGTTAATAGGGTGTACTAATACTTTTCTTCCCTTCAAAGCTTAAGCCAATGGATGAAATGTTAATAAAATATTTGTGAGGAAGAAAATATATATTGACCAGTATCTGTTAATTATTTTTAATTTTACTCTGTATAATCTAATAAATGTATTTTTTTTTTCTAGCGCTAATATTGATAAAATGATTGAGAATGATAAAGTCCCTAAACCAAATTTGAAAGAGTCAGTTCTCTGCATCTGTCGATTTACTGTCGCCCTCTTATCGTGTTCATCTATCGAAAGGATGCCTACTGGAGCTAATGCAGACATTCTATGGACAGCTGCAGAAATATGTTCATGCACTATTCCAACTGCCAAAGTTCCCAGAAGGTTTCCATTAACAAATATGTGTCCAAGAAATCTGTTTAGTGGTATGTACTTCTTTATTTTAAGTTTTCCTACTTATGCATGACAGATTAGGGATGAACTGTAGATGATAATAAGTTTTATTTCATCAGAAAAAAAAATTAAAATGGATGTATATTTTGTTTTACTAATAAACATAGTTGTTCTATTTCTTATTTTATTTTAGATGATAGTGATTCTTCTGAAGAATGTTCGCAGATCAGAAAATTGTCCTTCAGTAGCTCATCGTCAGAGTCATCCGGTAATAAAAAAATCATTTTTTATTTTATAGCTTCTTAATATATGAACCAAAATATAATATATCGATTGCAAAATAAATATACAGGGCTCTTAGATCTGTCAGTGAATATTACATAAAAGGCTGGAAAATTTAATTTAATATATTCATTAAAATAAGGATCACGTTGAGGTTCTGGAATTGTGTCAAAGTCAGGAAGAGAAGTTATTTCTATGTTTAGTAAAAATATTTCGTAAACACAATTAAATATGGCAGGTTTTTTTAAAACATGAATATCTTTGTAGTTACAAAATTTTGAAAAAAGCTGTTACCAATGGGGAGGGAGTTTTATTTTTCAAATATCGATGTGAGTATCTGATGCTAATAGAACCCGTTTGTTATATAAATCGCTATCCTCTGCAAGAATTTTTAAACAAATTTACCGCTCAAAGAATTTCTTCTGATTATCAATGGGGGTTCTTCAGCTTCAACTAGAATATTATATATATAGAATATTAATCGGACTGCTATTAAATGTAGGCCTAAGCTTATTCTGATAGATTTATACTGTATTCTATCAAGTGTTAGTAATTTAGTTAATGCCGCATTCCCATAGAAAACACAACTGAAATAGATTATAGCCCTTATTGCTGCTTTATAGAAATAATACAATTTTTAGGATTTTCTCCCCATTTAGTTGAACAGATAACCCTTAATATATTATTTTATATATCACATTTCTGGGTAATTTTAATTATATGTTGGTGCCAACTCAATTTCTGATCCAAGATGAGACCTAAGAACTTCACCTCTTTTTGTATTGGGAATTTATGATTATTGATGGTCAAGAATTCTTGTTCTGTTTTTCCTTTTTTTATTAAAATTATATACTGTCGATTTTTCAGTTGATACAGAGAAGCCCTTTAAGAATGCCCAGTTAAGTAAATTGTCCATTGTTGGAATTAGGGATTTGAAAAAATCTTTAGAATCTTTACCTATAGTATATAAACAATTATCATCGGCGTATTGAACTAGGTGACAATTATCGATCACATTTTTATTTATATCGGCTACGTAGACGGCGTATAGAAAACAGCTTAGAATTTCTCCCTCTTGCAGACCTATTTGAGCTAAATGTTGTTCTTTAATCTGTCGGTTTATTCTCAAAAAGATTTTCCTTTCCTTGTATAATTCTAAAATTCTATAAATAAAGCCTTCACGAAGTCCTACAGTAGACGTTGCCCTCCTTAACTCACTGAATATAATACTATCATAAGCTTTTGAGATATCTATGAATACCACAGTAATTGTTTTGCCTTCAGTAAATGCTACATAGATGTTAAATATAAGCTGAGATTGGGCCTGTTGAATAGATTTACCTTTTCTGAAACCATATTGGTTTACAGGTAAAATGTCATTTGATTCTAAATACCACTCTAGTCTCATCTTTATTATTCTTTCAAATGTCTACACATGATTCACTCTATGTATCAGAGAAGTTCATTTTTACTTTCACTTACCTATACATGAAATATATAGTAAGGGACAGTATTGCGATCGTGAACATTTTTGAATCTGAGTTTTCAACAGAAATACATGTTTTGAGGACTCCTGAGTCCAAATAACCAAGTCCCGCAAAATTTTCTGTGTGTGTTTGTATGTGACCAGTCTAGCTTAAAAACGAAAAGTTGTATGAACATGAAATTTCATAGTTAAGGTTTGTATATACCTCAGATGTTACAGCAACTTTATTGTCAAAATCGGCTAACCGGAAGTGGCACTTCATATAATCGATGTTACACATTTTTACGATTTTCTCAAAAACGGTTCTAACAATTTCGATCAAACTCGGTATATCAGTGTTTTATTAAGTTGTTTTTAATGGAGAGATTCCAATAATTCTACAGTAGTAAAAAAATACAAAACAATTTGTTGCCACAGCTATATTGCCCTAAATTATCATGCTGTCTCTGACAGGAGAGGTAATTGAGATAAAATTCAAAGATGATCTGAAGGCCTCAGTGGACGGAAATGATTCAATTAGTTGAGACTAAGTCTTCTGTTAATCCGCCATTTGTTGTTGTTAATATTCGTTGTTTCACAAACCATTATATCTGCACACCCAACTTCAAAAATCAGAACAGTTGATTCTGAACTGAATACTGTGAGACTGACATAAGCCTGCAGACATACTTAATAACAACCTAGTTCACTACTGAACTTGAAAACAATCACCGCCCCCTCCTCTCCTGTACCAAGCATTTAGACTGGACTGCTAGAACCATTATGATCTTAATTCCTACTAGAGTTGTATAATAAAAAAAAAATGTAATCAATCTTTTATGTTTTCTCCACTATTTCTGTATTTTCAGAATCAGTGACCACCGATTTCTGTCTCATTTTCGCCCCTCCTAAGGGTATACTAATCTACTATATAACTTGTTATTAGTCAGTGATATCGACATGAAACGTGTAAACCATAATTGCACTAGAATAAGGAAAGAAAATAAGACAAAATCTTTATACTTCGTTCTTATCAAGTGCTTTTATATTATTATATATATATATATGCATTTATAAGTGGTTTCCAGATATTTACATGTCCTGATAAGAGAGTCCCATTACATATTCTGGCTGAGGGCTCCAAACAGAGCCAGAAAACTGCATACTACAGGATGAAACTCAAATCAACCTCACAATTGTTGATTAATTCAGTTGCAAACATATTCAAATATAGCTCAAACGTTAGAATAATATGAAGAGACAATAATTATACAAATTTTTAATCTTTTAATTAATTTATATAACTGAATCCCAACGATATAATTGTGAAATAAAAAAAAGAATAAACCAACTACACACTCCAAGAGATTCTTAAATGAAATCTTTGGAGGGCTTCAGCATATTTTGTTTTGTTACTCTTTTCTTATGGATGTTAACTGGTCTTATAGTAATATTTTTGTTTGTTGGCTCTAAAACCTCATAGGATTATTTCAAGAAGTTATAGTTTATGATGGACTTCATTTGTGCTGCTATTTAACTCCTTTTCCTACATCATCCAGTGAAAAATATAAAATATGATAGGACTTGTTCTAGTTTTGTATCCTGGTATTGGTTTTGGTTCAGAATATGGCTAGTAACGCAAGATCAGTCTGATTGTGACTAATGTATGGCTTGGTGGTGCTTCATGGAGTTTATTAATTAAGTAAAACTCTTGATGTGTTTAACCACTCTTATCTTATCATAAATTTTATTGATATTTGATTTTTTTGTTAATTGAATCCCATTTAACAGTTGTTCTTTTTTAATATTTCTTTTCATTAACAATTCTAATAATGAAAAGCTGATTTATTATGTATAGTATCTCCCTTGTATTGTTGGGTTTATTTTTGTCAAAGCTAATTGTTTATTTTGTTGTTGGATTTATTTTGTCAATAACTGAAATACTTAAAAATGTAATTTTCTATATGCTTTGATTATTTTTATGTTTATTTTTTGAAAGTTATTTTAATTAACAATTTTTTTAGAAGAATTTCACACAGCCCCAGCCTCACCTCTGGAGATTGACGATATTATGATAGATGAGGGGGAAGAAGAAGAAGAATTTATGGTTATGTCTGAAACAGGGCCTGATGTGTTTTTAGCTGGGAATTTCCCAACAAAATTGGACAAAGATGTTTTAGAAGCAATAGAAAACTGTGATATACCACCTTTTAAATATCCTTACATTGTTCTTTGGAAATTGGCATGTATTCAAAGATCAAATACTGAGCCGATTGAAAGGTGGCCCACTCCAAAACCTCCACATCGGTTACCTTTTCGACACTCATATTAGCTGTCTGTTTATGTATTTTTATATATTATCAAATAAAGCTCACAGAAATATGATTATTTTAACATAAAGAAAACAAAAAAAAAAAAAAAATTTTAAATAATTTAAACTCAATAAATAATTTTAAAACTTTAACTTAAATAATTATTTTTTCTAATTTTATATTTTTTATTTTTCATTAAATATTTGAAAGCATTTAAGACTGAATCAGTTTAACATTCAACATCAATATAGAACTGTATATGTTCTGTATTGTTTTTAATATTTATTTCACATTATTTTTCAACTTCATGAGTTAGTTATGTTCAGTCTATTTCATATTCTTGTCTCTTCCTTTATTATTTATTGAATTATGAATGTTTTTATTTTTTGTGTTTTATTAAATGTGTCAGTTATTAAACTTTGTTTAACTTTAATTTTTTGTATTTGTTTTAATCATTTACTCAGGATAAACAGAAATATTTTATTAAGATTATGTTGTATATTGTCCCAATTGCTTGTTCCTATTATAAAAACCCCTTTAACATTTTTGTGGAAGTTTCAACTGCAGTTGTTTATTGATGTCCATACACATTATTGTTGGAGTGTTTGCTAGTTTATTTATCTTTTGATAATAGATCAATTTTTTAAATATTTTCATTGGGGTTTAAGACTGACTTATATAAACCAGGGACTGATAATATTCAATTTACTTGTAAATTAGATTTATGGTACAAAGAACTACAATTTATTGTATGATTCATACTGGCGTTTTATGACTATTTGATTAAGTTGTAACAAAAAAAGAAAATTGTCAGATTATTTCTTCACAGTACTGTTGTTAGAAAACGACTTTTTTTTAAATGAACATAGTTTTCCATGCAGTTAAAGAAATGCAACAGCAACAAATGAATTTCTCATTATATGGCATTGGTTTACCATAAATTTGGTTGTAGTTTTATTCTTATTATTTGATCTCTGATAATTTTTATATTTTCCATTTTTTTACCGAATATATTCACTATTTTGGCATGATTTTAAAATATACATTTTTTTTATAATGTGCATTTTTTTTTTTTCTACAGTGTGATTTGAGTTCTAGGAATAATAAATTTTCTTAAATTAATAGGTTAAATTAAAAATTGTGATAAACTTTTTATATTATATTTTTCAATTTGTATAGTTATTGTAGTTTATATCTATAAAGTTAGATGTTATATTCAAATTTTAGATGATTGTGTATATTTAGTTTGTAAAAGCTTAAAATTAATCTTTATATATATTTTTTGTATTGCTATTGTTCTTTGTTTCAAGTATCTATAGTATCATGGTTTCTTTCACTCTCAGTTTCATTTTTTAATGTTGATCTGTTTATATTTTCTATTTGTTTTATGTATAACTGAGTTACCAAGTTAAATACCTGTTTTTATTTATTTATGCTTTTAATTTTGGTTTTATTTTGAGCCCTGTCAATTTTAAATATTTCTGTGATTTGATTAAAAAGGATTTTCTGTGATGTATAATAAAATAGTTTTGATAGGCACACATGTGTTTGTGCTTGTGATTGTTTATTTTAATAAATTTTTTATAATTGTTATAATGTTTTGTTTTATTTGTATATACCCTTGAAGTTTATAAAATTATAATACCTTTTTTATACCAGTGATGGAGTTAGATAAGGAAATTGTTGTCATTTTCGTCTTCTGCATTACTTATTTCAGTTATGAACTTTTCCGTTGGATATTTAGAAACTTTGGGATCTCCTTTTCCCCCATTTCATCAAATACTACCATTATCAAATAGATAGATTGAAAGAAAGCTCTATTTCATATAAGTTTTACATATTCCTTTTTTTTTCTAACAAAACTCTTTTTTTATTGACAATGATATAGAACCATCTGCCTGGAGTTGCCCTAATAATACAAACAATGAAAATATTTCATAATAATAATATAAATAAAATCAACAAACTTTAGAAACATTTAACAGCCTTTTGTTATTTAAAACTACCTAAATATTTTTTGTTACATAACCTTAGTCTTATACTTGCTTTTGCTTTTGTTTACGTATAACTAAAAATTGTTATGGTTGTATTACTGAATTAAAAACATTCTATATTTATAAGCATATATATGATACATATATGAACTGCTCCAATCTTTGCCATTGAGTATGTCTATAAGTTTATTGCGGTTTATAATTCTTTTCTTAAAATATTTGATTCTTTTTCCTGTAAAGTCTGAAAAACAGCGACATAGTGGTATACATCCTCTATTACATTTAAATTACAAAGGCTACACAATCTTTGTTGCTCACTCATTACACTATTGTTTAGAAACAATAATTGTCCGTGCAATTTAAATATAACTTTAATAAAATGCATTTCATTTACATCTGATATGTAATGCCTTTCACCTTAGTCTCTGTTTAAATCCTTATAAGGGTCATGAAATCTAGACATTCTAGATTTTCCCTCATATCTGCTTTAAAATTATTTTCTAATTTAGTTAAAATATTGAGAATTCTTTTATTACTCATGCATTCTAATGGAATATTAATTCTATTACAGAGCTCAGTGTTTTCTTTGTGTCAAACTATTTTCTATTTTAGTGAATATTTAATATTTGACCGTTGCATTATATAGGAAGGAGATGGTCCGGGGTGGCGGTCATAAATAGGCTAAATAGTGGTAAAACTATTTTATTGAAAGCCGACGTTTCGACCCGACTTTGCAGGTCTTCAGAGTTAGAACGGACAAGATACAAAAAGATAGAGAATTGTGGACAGTTACATAATATTTAGACAAAATAATTATAAACAATGTGAATAAGCTTATTGAAATTATAAACAGTAAGTACATTAAAATATGAACAAAGTAAGCTAAGTAACAAGATCCTAAACTGAAGTAAATAGATGCTAACAATTGTTGTAGTGTAATATATAATAAATGCAAATGTGAATATACTTCTACAGATCTACAGGAGAGATTGAAAGAAAAGGAAAAAGGATATAATATGAAATAATAGACATAAAGGAATGTGGAGAAAGAAAAGAAAAAGAAAACCGAAAATTAAATAAATAAGTAAATAAAATGGAAGAATGAAATTAGAGACTTACAGGTGTGTTCAGCTAGGAGTTTCACTTAGAACTGGAAAACCAGGGGTAAGGGCAGGTATAGGGGAAGCTGACTTGTTTGGGTAATGGGGAAAACCTAGAAAATTACAGTATCTAAAATTTGAAGATATGGATGGATACAATGGAAAAATACTATATCTATGAAATATTAAATTATAAATATATACATATGCATATAAAATAGAATTAAAAGATTATAGATAAGAGTACAATGTGAATAAACCCAAAACTTGCAGAACTAACTTAGAAGTATAGAGAGGGAAAAAAATAAATAATTATAATTATATTTGCTTGTACATATGTAAGAAAATTACATTTGCATATTAGATAATATTGAGACATGATTAATAAGTAAAATGAATACAAAGTGGAAAAAGGATGATCATGCATTGATGTAGAGTGTAAATATAAATTTAAAATAAAAGAGAGATCATACAAACCGGAAATACTTAGAATAATGAACAATTAAATGAATTAATCAATAAAAATTGAGAGTAGATAAAAATAAAAATAATATAATGTAATATATAAGTTATTTTTCATGTATAAGATTTAATATGTGTCTATATGTTAAAAAAATACAGTTTTTATCTACTTTATGATTAACAGGATTCTGTTTCATGTGAATGTGGATAGATTCGAAAATAAGTCTTTTTTCATAATTAGGGACCATGGCAAGGATAGAGATTTTTTCAAAATCAAATGAGTGGCTGAGAGTTAAGGCATGTTCTGATAGTTAGGAGGCGGAAGGGTTCCAAGAAGTTATGGATGTTTTATGTTGGTAAATGCGGGTTTTGATATGGTTTTTGGTTTCACCAATATAAGAGCTATTACAATTAGGAGTAGAGCAAGTTATTCGGTAAACTACATTAGATGAGTGTTGTAAACGTATGGGATTCTTCAAGTTGGTGAAAAGGAAAGAAAGTTTGTAATGGGACTCAAGGCCAAGATGTAAGTTGGTTATGGTCGATTTTAGGAATTTTCGTATATTATCTGAGAGAATAGGAAGAGATTTGTATATGAAAGGAGTGGTAGATGATTGTGGGGAGTTGGGAGAAAGGGAGGTTGTACTCTTATTGGTTGTATAGAAGTTTAAAAGTTTAAGTATAGTGTTGGCTCTACTCCTCATTGCAATAGCTCCTATATTGGTGAAACCAAAAACTATCTCAAAACTCGCATTTACCAACATAAAACATTCATAACTTCTCGGAACCCTTCCGCCTCCAAACTATCAGAACATGCCTTAACCCTCAACCACTCATTTGATTTTGAAAAAATCTCTATCCTTGCCATGGTCCCTAACCATGAAAAAAGACTTCCGAATCTATCCACACTCTCATGGAACAGAATCTTGTTAATCATAAAGTAGATAAAAACTATTTCTTTAACATATTAAATCCTATACGTGAAAAATAACTTATATATTACAATCTATTATTTTTATTTTTATTGATTAATTCATTTAATTGTTCATTATTCTAAGTATTTCTGCTTTGTATGATCTCTCTTTTATTTTAAATTTATATTTACCCTCTACATCAATGTATGATCATCCTTTTTCCACTTTGTATTCATTTTACTTATTAACCATGTCTCAAATTATCTAATATTCAAATGTAATTTTCTTAAACTGAAACTCCCAGCTGAACACACCTGTAAGTCTCTAATTTCATTCTTCCATTTTATTTATTTATTTATTTAATTTTCGGTTTTCTTTTCTTTTCTTTCTCCACATTCCTTTATGTCTATTATTTCATATTATATCATTTTTACCTTTCGTTCAATCTCTCCTATAGACCTGTAGAAGTATATTCACATTTGCATTTATTATATATTACACTGCAACAATTGTTAGCATTTATTTACTTCAGTTTAGGATCTTGTTACTTACCTTACTTTGTTCATATTTTAATGTACTTACTGTTTATAATTTCAATAAGCTTATTCACATTGTTTATATATTATAATTTTGTCTAAATATTATGTAACTGTCACAATGATTCTCTATCTTTTTGTATCTTGTCCGTTCTAACCCTGAAGAAGACCTGCAAAGTCGGGTCGAAACGTCGGCTTTCAATAAAATAGTTTTACCACTATTTAGCCTATTTATGACCGCCACCCCGGACCATCTTCTTCCATTTTCTATTTTATTATTTCTTTAGCCAAAATGTTCGGTAGCCTTGTTGCTGGTAAAGAAAGTACCCTTTGTATATATTGCAAATGCAAAGATAAACTTTAAAAGAATACCATTTTAAAATTAGATTATAAATATAAAATATAATGAGGTTAATTATCAGGAGGGAAAAACAGCCTCCTTATGAAAAATTATTGTTTGTCGACTTCTTCAAAACTATGATATCCCCAGACTTGGCAAGCATAACAAATTATTGATATCTTTATCAAATAAATTATATATTTACAATGCTGCCGTGTGATCAATAATTTGTTACCATTTTCAAATATCTTTCCTGTGTAATTATTTGCCTATAGTTCAAACGCTGGCATATTTTTCTCTGACCATAGTCCTCTAATTCTTAATGTTTCACTAGAACCCGTTTCCAAACCTCCACCGTCATTTATCAGGAGCCCAGTTAAATGCGAACTTTTTCGTCACATCCTTTCCGATAAAATTGACGCCTTGATAGTGCCGTCAATTCTTTTACTATCACAATCTAGCAAGCTGTCTGGGCTGCCTTCTCCCCAAAAGGCTCCTCAAGAATTCCTAAAAAGACCAATCTACTCCAACATCTTCTTGGCCTAATACACATCAAACTCCGTACAAGATCATTATGGTAACGTACTAGAGATCCTATCGACGTCAGCTCCTATAATTATTATTGTAAAAGAATAAAACCGGAATCATTCATCTACTTATCTCCCGTCTCTGCTTGTGACAATTCTCTTTTTAAAACCACAACAAAAATCCTAAATCTCACAGAATTTTCTATCCCCTCTGGTAAGATGACGGCTCCTGGGCAACATCGGACGAAGATAAAGTCTAGGAGTTCGCCAGAAATCTACCCAATACTTTTATTCCACATCCGGTATTCCGTCCGACCCACAACATAACAGTGGAGGAATACCTAACATCACCTGTCCCACTTTCCTTGTTCCCTAAAGCAATTCATCCTTCCGAAGTGAAATTTCAATTAATAAAAACTAATCCCCCGTAAATCTGCTGGATTATGATCTTATCCCTCAGATCCTTCGACAACTTCCATCCAAACCAGTCATATTCCTTACATATATCTAAAATTGCATCATACGTACCACCCATTTTCCTCTATTACGGAAACATTCCACTATTTTCCTTTTCCAAAACCGGGCAAACCTCCCAACACCTCGACGTCCGACAGACCAATTAGCCTACTTCCAATCCTCTCAAAAATATTTGAAAAGATCCTCCTGAAACGAATCATACATTTATAGAATCCCAAAATCTTCCTTCTCATCAGTTCGGATTTC